CGGGTGCATCTTCATCTGCATGACTATCAAGGCTGTACACGTCGAATTAGTCAGCGATCTGACTACAGATGCTTTTTTGGCCGCTTTCAGGCGTTTTGTGAGTCGAAGAGCTGTTCCAACTCACGTTTATTCTGATAACGGAACMAACTTCGTCGGGGCTAATAACCAGTTAAGGGAGTTATACGCCCTGATGGAATCGGACGAATATAAAACAAGGGTTCGTGATCTCGCAATAGATCATAGAATATCGTGACATTTCAATCCACCCATCTCACCTCATTTAAGAGGTTTGTTGGAAGCTGCAGCCAAATCTTTCAAATATCATTTTAGGCGAATCGTGGGCCAACTGCTTTTTTTTACGAAGAAGTAGACCACATTCGCTATTGAAATCAAAGCTATTTTAAAATCACGCCCGTTATGCCTTATTTGGTCAGATTTAAATGACTCAACCGTACTAAGGCCTGCACATTTCTTTTAGATTAAAGGAACGTTTACGACAATGTCGAAGGATAATTATATTACAACTCCATCTAATCGATTTTTTTCATGGAAACTCATTACAAAGAAACGCCAGAAGTGAACCTAACTCCAGCATAAAATCAAAGGAATACCACCGTCATTCTCATTGACAAAATTGAACTATTCATGAGATGGCCGTTAGGCCGGATCGTGAGCATACATCCAGGAGAAGATGATGTAGTACGAGTGGTCACCGTGAAGACGGTCTACGGAGTTTTCAAGCACAATGCGATAACTATTTGTTCATTGTTCAACCATCCTTAATTTTTTGTATTGTCTTTAAGACCTAACTATTCCTTTGTACGTACAAGAAAATCGCCTGGCCAGCGATTATCCGAATGTGCTGAGCAAGTCAGCGGAGATATGCTGAGTGATTCTGCGAATATGTCCAGCGTCTTATATTATAAGCAATGAAATGAACATGTTCAATAACCTATACAGCTAGCGGTATATTTAACTGACTAAGTGACCTAGGTCGAAAGTATTGTAAAATTGATTGTAACAAGCGCACAACACAACACATGTATTATGAATGTCATTGATCGTTACACTCCCAACGGGGGGAGTATGTACGATCCAAAATGATCGTACGGTAATTAGCTATAGTTAAATCGCGCGCGTCCGATTCTATCGATTAGGATTCCAGATCGATACTCATTGCGAGCATGGATCAACTACCAGCAACTATCGAGGCGCTCCTCTAGTTACCCCTACCTATCGCACCCCCACTCTTCCATCCCCTAGCGCGTACACCCTGCTGGGCCAGTACAAAAGGACATTCTTTCATTCCATCACTGGACGCCTGTGATTATATATTTAAATCAAAGGAGTTAAGTTAAATTAGTTAAGGAACGTAAGGTAGTTAAGGAACCAGAGGTGAGATCTTTCTATTATATACATTTCACATGGGCGGTATTTTCCCGCGTGGTAACAACACGTGGATGACTCTCATTGTTATAATTAAATATCATCCAGGGTTTTTATGCCACAAGGCTTTTCCCTGACGAGCTAATAAAAAAGGCATTGTTTCTTTGTTTGGCTCAACCACGTGCTTGATTAATTTATTCTAATCCCTTCTTCCTCATCCCCAGCAACTAATTACCAGAGGACTCTTAATTGGAGAATTTGGTCATAACAGGTAGACTATCTTATTGAAGGTATTCCAGATGAAGCTTTACGTGATCAAGCAAAGATGCAACGTTTTGAAAATAAGGATACTTTGCTTAAAGCTTTCGAAAAAATTAGGTTGAATAATTAATCGAATGCTGTTAGTAAGAAAAAAGAATCACCTAAAGGCTCAGCCAGAAACAGAGGCAAATCCAGATCCGAAGCCGATAGTCAAAACAAAGGGGAGCACGAGAGTTCGGAGAAACCCAGTGATAAAAAGAGAGTCCAGTGTTATAATTGTAGCGCGTTCGGTTATATTGCAAATGATTGTAAGAAAGAGAAAAGGCCGAAAGGCTCTTGCTTCATTTGTTCGTCGACGGATCACGTAATCAAAGACTGTCCCGAGAAAAAAAAGAAATCGAATAATTCTGAAGTTACGAATATTGAGAAAAAGTTAAGTTCCGAATTTCACTCACAAATTTCAATGTATTTTGAGGACAATGGCGAACAATTTGAAATGATTTTTACGGCTTTGTTAGATAGTGGCAGTCCTATCAGTTTCATTATAAGTAAGTTTTTGAATCCTGATATGATCAAAGAGTGTGACAATCATGATTATTACGGAGTGAATGATTCGAATTTGAAAATTATGGACAAAAATACACCTCTTTGCACGTTGTTTGATTGTACTCGAGCGATTAAGTTATTGGTTGTTGATGATAACACGATGGTTTCGCCAATAATATTGGGTCGTGATGTATTTAAGATTTTTGAGATAGGAATTTTACAACACATCGAAAAATCGAAAATTGAGAAAAATAGAATTTCAGAAGTTGAAAAAAATATGAATTATGTTAATGATACTAATAATAACATAAATCATATTAGTGCGATTATGAATATTGCAATTGACAAAATAGAAAGTGCTGATTCACTGAAAACAAATTCTGAAATTCCATACCATTATCAAAAAGAATTGATAGAAACATTCGAAAAAACGTATGTATTAGCTTCTAAGCCCGAAAAGCCGAAGACAAAGGCCAAGCTTTCACTGAAATTGAAAAGTCATAAGCCATTCAGATTTTCACCTCGCAGACTTACTTTTACCAAAAAAAAATAATTTGAGAAATATTATGGATGATTTATTAGAGCGTGGAATAATAAGGCCTAGTTAATCAGAATATTCCTCAGCTGTTGTACTCACACGCAAGAAAAATGGAAAGATAAGAATGTGCATTGACTATCGAGAATTGAATAAATTTCTAGAGTCAGATAATTACCCTTTGTTAGTAATTGACGATCAAATTGCATTGCTAAAAGAAAAAAAATTTTTTACATCTTTAGACTTGAAAGATGGCTTTTTTTCACATTGATATGGCCGAAGATTCAATTAAATACACAGCTTTTGTTACATCTTTTGGTCAATACGAGTTTGTTAAAATGCCATTTGGATTGAAAGTTGCACCTAAACGTTTCCAAAAATTTAATTACCAAATTTTGAAAGAGGTAATTGAATCTGGTGATGCTATTGTTTTTATGGATGATATTTTAATTACAACTAGTACTATTGAACATCATTTGACTGTATTAAAAAAGATTCTTAATATTTTCAATGACAACAAAATTGAATTGCAATTGACAAAGTGTAGTTTTCTGATGACTGAAATTTACTATCTAGGCTATAAAGTCACAGAGGGGGCAATCATACTAACAGACGATCACATAAGTGGTATTGTGAATTTCCTAGTTCCGAAAAATACTAAAGGCGTTCAAAGTTTCATTGGCCTTGTATCATACTTCCGAAAATTTATTGAGTCATTTTTACACATTGCCAAGCCGCTATATGATTTGTTGAAAATGAAAAGTGAATTCAAATTTGGTGAAGTCGAATTGAATGCTTTTAATGAATTGAAAAATCGATTGGTAAGCGCACCTATATTCGCGATATATGACCCACACGCAGAAACCGAACTTCACTGCGATGTCAGTTCGCGAGGGTTCGGAGTGATTTTACTTCAACGCGGCAGCGATCGTAAGCTACATCCAGTATTTTATTTTTCTCAAAGAGCAACTGCCGCAGAAAGTAAATACCATAGTTTTGAACTTGAAATGCTTGCTATTATTTATGCTCTCAAAAGATTTCGAGTCTATTTGTAGGGTATTAAATTCAAAATAGTTACTGATTGCAGTTCGTTAGCACTTGCATTGAAAAAACACGATATCAATCCGAGAATCTCACGATGGATTCTCGAGTTACAAAATTATGACTATACGAGTTAACACAAATCGTCAGTGCGAATGCGGCACGTGGACGGCCTAAGCAGATGTAATTTTGTTGCGGTTATCGAAGATAATTCGTTTGAAACTAATTTAGTTATCGCTCAGAATCTTGATGAGAATATTGTAAAATTGAAAAATGAATTAGAATTGTCCGAAGGTAAATTATACGAAATGAGAAATGGAATTATTTATCGCAAAATTGGTGAAAAATTATTGTTTTACGTTCCGTCTGAAATGGAAAAAAGTATTTTATTTAAATACCATGATGAANTTTCCAATGTATATATATTTCACATCGACGGTATTTTCCCTCGTGGTAACACCACGTGATACCTTCTCATTGTATAATGAAGTATTCATCCAGGGTTTTTATGCCGCAAGGCTTYTCCCTGACGAGCCAATAAAAAAGGCATTGTTTCTTTGGTTGGCTCAATCACGTGTTTTATGTTTCACCTTAACCTAACCCTTTATTCTCCACTTCATAGCATAAACAAATTGCCAAAGGACTCTTAGTTGAGGAATTTTGGCCATAAGAGCGACGACGGCAGCGTAAAAGCCATGACCTCCCAGACACAAGTGGAGATTATGGACCTGGACTGCGTGGTGACGAGAGAGGACGTGATATAGGCACTACGACGGGAGACAGGACGGGACGGAGACTTTGGTACCCATATCTTTGGCCCGAACCGTGCCGAGCAGTACATGGCGGTCTGCGATCTTGAATCGCAGGAAGCCAAGTTTCTGCTCGGACGCGGTCGGATCGGGATAGAATGGGTCCATTGTCGCGTACGAAAACGACTCACGGTGACAAAGTGCTACAAATGCCTAGGCTTTAGACACACGAAGACGAGCTGTAAAGGACCAGACAGAACGAAGAACTGCAGGAAATGCGGTGAGACCGGACATTACGCGACGGTCTGTAAAAACAGACTGAACTGCTCTCTGTGCGCCGAGGCAGGACGCATGGACGCTACGCATCTCTCGGGCTCCGGGAGGTGCGCGGCGTTCCGGGTCGCGCTGAAGGAGTGCAGGAAGCGGGCAGGACGACGGACAGCGTAATCCAGGGAAACCTGARCCGCAGCAGGACAGCTGACATGCTACTACCCCAGATAGCAGATGAACTGGACGCTGACATACTCATACTGTGCGAGACATACAGAAAACGGACAACACGGACTTGGTACACAAACGACGACGAGACGGTAGCTATCTGGGTAAGGAGTGCTGCCCGTTCCCGGATAACCGGCTGTGGCGCAGGGGAAGACCATGTCTGGGTCAAGGTGGGCACTGTCACTTACGTCAGTGTTTACYTTACCCCAAACTGTGACGCGGCGGAGTTAGAAAGAAATGTAGCGGCCCTCGAGGACGGAATCAGGGAACTGCCTGTGGACCTGGTAGTCGCTGGGGACTTCAACTCGAGAGCGATCGAGTGGGGCATGACAGCGACGAACAAACGAGGACGGCTGCTTCTGGAGATAGCCTCAAGGCTAGACCTAGAAGTAGCAAATACAGGAAACACGCCGACATACAGACGACCGGGATATGGTAGCTCTATCCCAGACGTAACAATGACATCAGACAGACTGCTGACACAAGTAAGGCGATGGCGGGTGATCGAAGACTACACGGCCAGCGTCCACCAGTACATCGCCTTTGAGGTAACAAGAAAGACAGCAACGGCACAGAAAAGACAACGACAACCTCAGCGGTGGAACACGAACAGATTCGACACACAAAGGCTTTCGGAGGAACTGGCGGCAACGCCGGCCCCGATCGCCAGCGTTCCCCCGGATCTGACCGGTCGGATCAGGGCGGAAAGACTTACAGACGAGACAGCTAAACTGACAGAAAGGCTGTGCGAAAGTACGATGCCGAGAAAACACCTCATACGAAACAGACAGCCACAATACTGGTGGACGGACGAAATCGCCGAACTGCGGAGGGGTTGMCTCGCAGCACGCAGAAGGGTTACAAGAGCCAAAGGCAGGCCTGAGAGAGAAGCACTCCAGGCAAATTACAGAAAAGAATTTAAAAGACTGACTAACGCTATCCGAGACAGTAARACGAAGTGCTGGAGGACGCTCTGCGAGGAGGTGGACCGCGACCCGTGGGGTGCCGGTTACAAGATAGTGACCGGCAAACTGGGGGCTCGGGAACCACCTGTACTYAAGGATRCGGAATCCATGCGACGCATYGTGGACGGACTCTTCCCAACAMACCCGCTGCGAACAGAWACGACAGACGAAGACRRGAYAGCRGCGGTTGACGCSTTCACAGCTTAGGAGCTCTTCAGARCGGCTAAGGCGTTGAARGTTGGCAAGGCGCCGGGACCAGATGGTGTGCCGGGGGAGGTTGTACGGCTGATGGTCAAACAGAGGCCGGACATCTTCCTTGACCTGTACAACACCTGCCTACAGACAGGGACTTTTAGCGACCGATCGAAGGTAGCGAGGCTGGTCCTCATGCCTAAGGGTAAGGGGGACCCCAGCACGCTATCAGCCTACCGGCCGCTGAGCCTACTGGACACGACGGGAAAACTTTACGAACAGTTACTCAGACAGAGACTTACAGGGACGATTGAAGCTGGGGGATGCCTTTCAGGTCATCAGTTCGGCTTCCGGAAGGGTCGGTCGACCGTTGGTGCGATCCAAAGGGTCGTTGACACCTTCCGGGAAACAGACAGATACTGTCACGCAGCGCGACTCATCATGTTGCTGGCGACATTAGACGTTAGGAACGCCTTCAACTCGGCTAGGTGGGTGGACATCTTGCAAGCGCTTAAAAACGCTTTCAAAGTTCCACCGTACTTGCTCCGGGTGGTGAAGGATTACCTACGAAACAGACGACTGACGTACGAGACGACAGAAGGACACACGACGAGACAGATCACCGCTGGGGTTGCCGAAGGATCTATCCTCGGACCGGATTTTTGGAACGCGACCTATGACAGCCTGATTAGACTAGAACTTCCGCTTGACGTATCTCTCGTCGCATACGCTGATGACGTAGCAACGGTGATCGTAGAGCGGACCCTAGAGCTGGCGCAAGTAAAACTTAACCAGACAATGAGACGAGTCGGACGGTGGATGACAGACCACGGACTGCARCTTGCGACGGAAAAGACAGAACTGCTGATCCTCACAAGGAGACGCGTACAGACGAGACTCCCCATGACAGTTGGGACAGAAACAATCGAGACCAGGGGGGAAGTCAAGTATCTGGGTGTAACCCTAGATACGAAGATTACTTTCTGGCCTTACATATAGAGTACAGTCCAGAAGCCGGCCGAAAGAGTAAAATCCTTAAGCCGCCTGATAGCAAACACGAACGGACCGAGAACAAGGAAACGGAGTCTACTGATGTCAACAGCTCACTCGATCCTTCTGTACGGGGCAGAAGTCTAGGCAGATTCCCTGAAGACAAAGAAGTACTGCCACGCAATGATGACGATACAGAGACAGAGCGCGCTGAGGATCGCCTGCTCCTACCGGACGGTCTCTGCGCAGGCCGTTCTGGTCGTGGCAGGTGTGATTCTCATAGATCTTCTTGCTTTTGAGCGCAAGAGGATCTACGGAAGAAACGCAGACACGAGACTACAGGACGCAACATCGACAGAAAGGGACAACACTATGCGCGCGTGGCAACAGGATGGACGGAAGAAAGAACAGGCAACTGGACAAGACGACTCATCAAGGACCTGAGACAGTGGACAAAACGAGACTTCGGGGAAGTAATCTTTTACGTAACACAACTCCTGACAGGACACGGGTACTTCCGACAATACCTCCACAGAATGAACAGAGTACGGACATCAAACTGCACATACTGTGGACACGAACGAGACGACGCGAAACATACCTTCTTCGCGTGCGACCGCTGGACTGACCTCAGACGGAGACTGGAAGCGACCGTGGGAGAAATCACCACTGACAACATCGGGGAGGTGATGCTCCACGGAAAGGACTGGTGACAATTAGTTGCCACATATACGGAGACTATTCTAAGACGGAAAAATGCGGACGGCTGCCTGACATGAYGGATTTGACGCAAGACAACAGACCGAACCACACACAAAACACAACAGACGAATAACAAAACGACACACAGACAAGACCCTTAACCAGAAGTAATACTAAAGTAATCCCTGGTTGGGGGGAGACGCGGACGACTACGCGGACAGAAGTGGATTTTCCCCTCGCCTGAACAAGGAAAGATCAGGGGTGGGGGGATTTAGCTGATATGCGTTTCGGAGGAAAGGACGAGACGAGAGTTCAGCACACGGGGGCCGGCTCTGCTTCTGACGTCGAGGGGCGATCTTTCGACTGCGGGGGCAGGGCTGACGCCTATGGTCTATAAAAGATTTGCCTTTACTTTTTACCACGTTAAAAAAAAAAAATAATAATAATAATTATAATAATAATAATAATAATAATAATAATAATAATAATAATAATAATAATAATAATAATAATAATAATAATAATAATNGCAAAATTGGTGAAAAATTATTGTTTTACGTTCCGTCTGAAATGGAAAAAAGTATTTTATTTAAATACCATGATGAACTGGGTCACATGGGTTCCGAAAAAGTAATTGATATCGTCAGCAAAAGTTATTGGTTTCCGCAATTGAGACAAAAAGTTAAAGAACACATACGAAATTGTTTCAAATGTATCGCGTACAATTCGGCTAGTGACAAAGTCGAAGGTTAACTCCGAAGTATTCGGAACGGTGACCGGCCATTTGAAACGATTCATGTTGACCATGTCGCTATCTCGGATGTTCGCGTGACTACTAAAAAACATGTACTAGTGATTGTAGACGGCTTTTCAAAATTTGTTAAACTTTATGCAGCAAAATCTACAACATCGAAAGAAGCCATTGACAGCTTGAAAATTTACTTTTCATGCTATAGTAAACCAAAAAATATTGTATCAGATAGAGGATCGACCTTTACTTCAACGGAATTTTCCGATTTTGTTACAGAATTTGATATAAAACACATTTTAGTTGCTACAGGTTCGCCTCATGCGAATGGACAATTCGAAAGAGTAAATCGAACTCTCAAACCTATGTTAGGTAAATTGTCAGACATTGAAGTTGGAAAAACTTGGACTAAAACTCTATTTGAAGTTGAATTTGCTTTTAATAATCTAGTACACAAAACAACGGGTGAAACTCCCAGTATTTTGTTGTTTGTTATTCCTCAACGAGGTAAAGTGCACGATCCTATAGCTGAACTTTTAATCGATGATGTAAATTGTGAAAAAAGAAACCTAAAAGAGATAAGAGATAAGGCCAGTAAAAAAAAAATTGAAAAACAAAATCAGATAATATCTCAAGCCAATAAAAAGCGAAAAGACGCAACAGTATATGAAGTAGATGACTACGTTATGATAAAAAGTTATGATAATACAGTAGGTATTTCTCCAAAATTAATTCCACAGTTTAAAGGTCCTTATCAAGTGACTAAAGTTTTACGTAATAATAGATATGTCATTGCTGATATACCCTCTAGTAGAATAGAGGGAGACGGTCGCAGCGATCATGCTGCAGTCCTTACCAATCGAATGTTCCGGGTGCGAATACGCCGAGTGGTCTGACCATTCAAAAGCCTCTACGTCACGGTAGTCAAACCGCGTGGCCAGGGCAGACAATGCCCCTACTGAACCTGCGCAACTCCTGCGAAAAGTTACCTTGCAAAGAATATTGGGCCGATGCTTTAATCTAGGCGCTCTGCTGCTGGAGTTGATAAGGCATGGCTTGATGGCGACGGCCGTGAAAGGTGGCGGCGAGACGATGAGAGATTTAGTCGCAGGAGGTGGGTCTTGTACCACGAGCAGAGTTCCAGGCGCTGCTGGGGGTGATGATGATGATGTTAGCGGCGCCGATGGCGGTGCCGAAGACTGCGACGTTATGGGAGCCCGTGCGAGGTTCTGGTCCGCTTGAGTCTGGACAGAAAGCGACTGCTCCGGTAGGGCGATTGTTGGGATGCGTTAACCGGGTGGTCATCAAAAATGTCCAGATACACTGGTTTCAGGGCGTCCGTAGACTCGGCTTTCTCGGCGCCGTTTACTATGATGACGTAAACCTTATCACTGATGCGGCGGATGATTCGATTCAGTCCAGTATAAGGTAGTTCAAATAGCTTTTTGACCGTTTACCCGCTGAAAGACGTGCGAACATGTTCGGAGGTCTCTGAACCTCTCAACCATACCGTTGGCTTTGCCGCACGGCGCAGATGACCGGGAAGGCATCGTAAACGCTGTGGGCCATGATGGCGAGCTCGTCAAGGTCCGTGGTCCGCAGGAGTCGCAACAACTGGGAGACTTGCGAAGGGAGGAAATCGAACCAGCGAACATGGATTGCGTCATCGCCGACGCTGTCGTCAGGGAGGTGGCGCATCCAACGGAAGAGCAGAGACGACGAGCGGTCCCCTATAGTAAGGCCGAATAACAACTTTTGTAGCCGTTTCTCCGTAGTCTCGCTAAAGCGAGCAAGGATAGGCTCCTTGAGATACTCGTATTTGCCGGTGGAGGGTGGCCACTTGAGCACATCTTGAAGCTCTTCTGCTATTTCCGCATCCAGCTCCACGATGACCGTGTTGAGGCGTTCGGTATCCGAGCGTATCCCATTGCAGGAGAAGATGGATTCTATCTGCAGGAATCACACGTCCGGGCAACGACGCGTGAAGGGTGGCCAGCGGTAGACCCAACTGCCGGCGTCGTGAGGATGGGTAGACTCGGCGTAGGTGTGTGCGGGCACAATGATGTCGGAGGTCGGTGCAGTAGCCGGTACAGCGGCCGGTACCGGACTCAGGCGTTTGGCGTCGTCTGGAAAATAGCCGGTACCAGCTTACTTAGATCCCGTTTTCTTCTTTTTCTTTTTTCTTTTTTTTTTGAACAATAGTTTACTGTGTGTATATAATCAACACGGAAAATTTGAGCACAGAGAATATGTGGGCCTTTGTTCCCTGCAACACCCCTCCGTACCTAATGTTCGCGGGAGATAAAAGCCTACTTCCACATACGGAGATCCCTAACAGCGAAATGGACATAGAAGACCAGCAGATGAATGTGCCAGATATTACAATGGCCTCAAACAGCAGTGTAGGTGCATGACAACAGGAGGCTCCCCACTAAGAGCATCCACCTTAACGCTGCAAAATATCTGATACAAACAGAGCAAAGGGCAGGGAATAACCCCGCTGGATAAATTATTATTCCAAGCGAGAAAACGTCTTAGATACAGATCTACAACACCAACGGACACACTACCAAAC